CGTTCTAGAAAGTATTGAAGATTGAGAATTGTCTTCTGGATTCTTTTAAAATATTCAGAATCTTCCTCCCCTTTCCTAAGTAGGTCCTAGATTTTGAATGATTTTCTGAGAATTCGTTTGACATTGTCTCGGTTTCCTTTACTCTTTCGAGCCCCGACGGCTATGGCTGACTGAGAATTCAGTCAGTCAAAGGTTTAGCTGTGTTCTAGAAAGTATTGAAGATTGAGAATTGTCTTCTGGATTCTTTTAAAATATTCAGAATCTTCCTCCCCTTTCCTAAGTAGGTCCTAGATTTTGAATGATTTTCTGAGAATTCGTTTGACATTGTCTCGGTTTCCTTTACTCTTTCGAGCCCCGACGGCTATGGCTGACTGAGAATTCAGTCAGTCAAAGGTTTAGCTGTGTTCTAGAAAGTATTGAAGATTGAGAATTGTCTTCTGGATTCTTTTAAAATATTCAGAATCTTCCTCCCCTTTCCTAAGTAGGTCCTAGATTTTGAATGATTTTCTGAGAATTCGTTTGACATTGTCTCGGTTTCCTTTACTCTTTCGAGCCCCGACGGCTATGGCTGACTGAGAATTCAGTCAGTCAAAGGTTTAGCTGTGTTCGAAAGGGTATTGAAGATTGAGAATTGTCTTCTGAATTCTTTTAAAATATTCAGAATCTTCCTCCCCTTTCCTAAGTAGGTCCTAGATTTTGAATGATTTTCTGAGAATTCGTTTGACATTGTCTCGGTTTCCTTTACTCTTTCGAGCCCCGACGGCTATGGCTGACTGAGAATTCAGTCAGTCAAAGGTTTAGCTGTGTTCTAGAAAGTATTGAAGATTGAGAATTGTCTTCTGAATTCTTTTAAAATATTCAGAATCTTCCTCCCCTTTCCTAAGTAGGTCCTAGATTTTGAATGATTTTCTGAGAATTCGTTTGACATTGTCTCGGTTTCCTTTACTCTTTCGAGCCCCGACGGCTATGGCTGACTGAGAATTCAGTCAGTCAAAGGTTTAGCTGTGTTCGAAAGGGTATTGAAGATTGAGAATTGTCTTCTGAATTCTTTTAAAATATTCAGAATCTTCCTCCCCTTTCCTAAGTAGGTCCTAGATTTTGAATGATTTTCTGAGAATTCGTTTGACATTGTCTCGGTTTCCTTTACTCTTTCGAGCCCCGACGGCTATGGCTGACTGAGAATTCAGTCAGTCAAAGGTTTAGCTGTGTTCGAAAGGGTATTGAAGATTGAGAATTGTCTTCTGAATTCTTTTAAAATATTCAGAATCTTCCTCCCCTTTCCTAAGTAGGTCCTAGATTTTGAATGATTTTCTGAGAATTCGTTTGACATTGTCTCGGTTTCCTTTACTCTTTCGAGCCCCGACGGCTATGGCTGACTGAGAATTCAGTCAGTCAAAGGTTTAGCTGTGTTCTAGAAAGTATTGAAGATTGAGAATTGTCTTCTGGATTCTTTTAAAATATTCAGAATCTTCCTCCCCTTTCCTAAGTAGGTCCTAGATTTTGAATGATTTTCTGAGAATTCGTTTGACATTGTCTCGGTTTCCTTTACTCTTTCGAGCCCCGACGGCTATGGCTGACTGAGAATTCAGTCAGTCAAAGGTTTAGCTGTGTTCTAGAAAGTATTGAAGATTGAGAATTGTCTTCTGGATTCTTTTAAAATATTCAGAATCTTCCTCCCCTTTCCTAAGTAGGTCCTAGATTTTGAATGATTTTCTGAGAATTCGTTTGACATTGTCTCGGTTTCCTTTACTCTTTCGAGCCCCGACGGCTATGGCTGACTGAGAATTCAGTCAGTCAAAGGTTTAGCTGTGTTCGAAAGGGTATTGAAGATTGAGAATTGTCTTCTGAATTCTTTTAAAATATTCAGAATCTTCCTCCCCTTTCCTAAGTAGGTCCTAGATTTTGAATGATTTTCTGAGAATTCGTTTGACATTGTCTCGGTTTCCTTTACTCTTTCGAGCCCCGACGGCTATGGCTGACTGAGAATTCAGTCAGTCAAAGGTTTAGCTGTGTTCGAAAGGGTATTGAAGATTGAGAATTGTCTTCTGAATTCTTTTAAAATATTCAGAATCTTCCTCCCCTTTCCTAAGTAGGTCCTAGATTTTGAATGATTTTCTGAGAATTCGTTGGGCATTGTCTCGGTTTCCTTTACTCTTTCGGGTCGTGAAGGTTAAATTATACAAGCATTCAGAACTGGAACCTAAACAAATGCCATCCCTGCTTCGTTCTAACTTTCATATATAAAAACACCTTTTGATTCCTGATTGTCTTTTGTTAATTTTTTTTTTATTTCGTCTTGCTGTTGTTAATCATCTTTCTTGTTGTTCCTTTTGTTCCTTTGTAATTTGATTTATTGATTCATAATTAGTATTTCTGCCAAGTTTCAGATTCATTGGTTGAGTTTCAGCTAAATGGCGTGACCTAACGTCCACAATGTGACAGTCATCAGCCTTCATGAGTAGGGCGTTAGTCGAAACGAGATCATTGAACGCGTTGGGATTGCTAGCATGTGCTGTTATGAAGTTATGGAAAGATTCACCAAGTCTGGATCTCTATGGATCGCACTTTGAAAGGAAGAAAAAGTACGCTGACGATTCCAGAGAACGTTGAAGCTGTTCGGGATCAAATCAGGAGTAGCCTACAGGTCGCTCAGGAAATTAGATCGCTCAGGAAAATTAGATCGCTCAGGAAATTGGCCATGAATATTGGTATCTATCGGTTTTTGGTCTAAACGATAGTCTGAAAGTAGCTTGATCTAAAATGCTATTGAGTCCCAAAAGTTGCCATCTTCTCGGAAAGCAATAAACAATTGCGTCTGGAGCAGGCCGAATTTCTTCTGGATGGCACGCAGGGAGTATGCTCAAATAGCAATTTTTAGGTAAAAACGTCCGTATCGCCGAGAAAGGCTTTATCGATCAAATCTTCAAGAACTATCTGCTCCCACAAACTAAATCCCACTTTGGACGGGTACATTTGATCCACCAGCATGGCGGAGCTCAAGCCCACACCGTCAAACTCACCCAGCAGTGATGCGAGGCATACCTGCCTGAGGAGACAAATGGCCGGCCTACTCGCCGGATTTGAAACCCACGACTTTCATCTAGAGTTTTTCAGAAGAAGGTCTGCTCAAAACCCTATTCAACTTTCGCAGCTCTGGAAGAAACACTTTTCGAGAAATTTGACAAACTTTGGACCGTGCCACCATCAATGCCTACCGACGACGTCTTCAGGCCGTAATTGAGGCGAACGATGACCGTCAATCAAATCAAAAAATTCTTTTTGACTATATCTTTTGTACGCCCAAACAAAACTTCTGTTGAGTTTCATCAGTTTTCGGCTTTTACTTTTCGAGAAAACCTCTTTCAAACATGTGCGGGTAATTAAATGCATAGATGTCAACAATTCCTGGAATTAGAGTTGACGAGCAAAAAAACTTTTTTCTGTGTTAGTTTGATAGCTCGCCAACCGATACCATTAGATTCCTCTCATGATTTTATAATACGAGCAAGTTGCGAGCTAGATCGTCCAAATTGAGCCATTAATAAAAATATTGACGAGCACCTTCCAAGCGGATCCAAGAATTCATCTATGATTAAAAGTCACCCTGTAGAAATTATCGAACTCCGGAATTCCAAATTTCGAAAATTTCAGAAAAAACTCAGTCACGGAAATTCAGAAATTGGAAAACTCAGATATTCGGAAACCGGAAATTCACAGTAAAAAGCACCGTATCGTAGGAACTCAAAAATTGGTAACTCAGCAATCCAGAAATTTAAAATTTTGGAAAATCAGAAAATTAAGTTACTGATAAACAGAAACTATCAGAAACTTGATTTTCAATCAGTAACTTAATTTAGAAAATCAGAAATTTAATGAGACACTCAAGTTGAACTTGTGGAAAATTAGAAATTCGAAAACTGAGATAATCAGCTGTTTTGAATTCAGGGATTCATTAATTCCAACATTCTAATTAAAAGATCCTCAAATTCTCAAATTCTAAAACTCTTATGTTCTGAAATTTCAAATTTTGAGGATTTGGAAAATGTAGAAATTGGAAAAAAAATTCAACTTGCTAAAAATCGGAGGTTTCCGAATTTTTGGATTTATTGAGTTTTTCAATCTCTCGATTTCTACAATTTGTTTACTGAAATTATGAATTAACAAATTTTTAAACTCTCGCTTCCCGAAATTCAGAATCATTTTTGAACTTTCAGAATTCGAAATTCAGAGATTTCAGATTCAAACTTCAGAAATTAATAAAAAATTTAAAAACTTTCATGTTATTAGAATTTGAGTCCGGACGATCCAGATATTCCAGAAAACTTCAAAACCAATTTCTGCGATTTTTATATACCAGGATTGCTATTATAATAAATTAGAGTATTTACGGCATATTTTAATTGAGGTTTCCACTGAATCATCTGTATCCTGTTGTACCTTTAACGTGTTGCTTGACCTAATTTTTCCACTGATTGTGATCACAGACTCGAGTCTGCAAGCACGATGTCGACGATAGTAATAAGAGTGATGTCACAGAACAAGAGAAAAAACGGCATTTTATTTGACTGGAATTGTGTGTGAAAAGAGGTGAAGGCAAGGAGATATGAAACAGTAAAACGTGGTTAGTCATGAAAAAAAGTAGGAGAACGTTCCTTTGCTGAACAGTATAATGGAGATGCCAAGACGGACCATGAAAATCAGACAGTTTCTGAAGTTCTCCTACTTTAAAAAACGTACAAAGTGGTAAGTGACATTATCTAACAGGAAAGACCAGATACTTACAGAAAAGTCAAAATGAAGAAATAATTAGAAACACTCAGGCAGATGGACAATGATAATGTGTCTCAGCAAACTCATTCATCCGTTTCACATGCTCACTAAAATAATTTATCATTCCAGAATTGACGAGACGCTTCGGGAGACCTCCTGAAAAATCATGGAAAACTCTAAATTTTCAGAAAATCTTAATGAGTACCTTTCAAATCTGTTTTCATGAGCCATTCGAACATCGTAACTCCGTCTTCGCCTTTCAGAGTTCGAATCATAGAAGGGAAGTTGTGTCCTCTTACAATTTTTGGATTTCCATTGTTCGGACACAAATTGGATTCGACAGAAACAAAATATCCTGTATAGGTGTCAGCAGTTGAATCGAGCTTGATCTTACGCAAATCCAGGAAATCTCGAGATGAAATATATCCACGCATTGCTGGTGCACTGACCGAATAGTACAAATCGGTAGCACTGTCTAGATGAGCAATCATCTTTCCTTCGATTACCTAAATTAAATAAATGTTGTTCATATGAATAAAAAATTTTATTGAAAAATGTGTTTTTTTTCATTTCACGACACTAGCTCACCTGGGTGTTCCACTTGAGCATATCTTTCCAAGCAATGTTGAAAAGAACCAAAGCTGGGAACTTGTCGAACTCCGCTTTAACCAAAAAGTAATTGTCAGGACCTTGCAATACGGTCGGGGAGTTTGCTCGTAGAGTCTTCCATCCACCAAGTCGCGAATCTCTCATGAGTTCTTCCACTTGATCGAGGCACTCTCTCAATGTTATTTCGAAAAGTCTTTTTGTGTCTGGCGGTACCAGAAGACGTGATCGTGCTTCTTCATCTGACGAGAATTCGGCGGCGCTTCGAAATTCATCATAATCAGATGCGATAAAAACTCCAGAAGAGACACGAGACGGAACGGCCGTCTGCGTTTCTGATTGATTTCCGGAATTTTGCTGACGTCGCCCACGACGATGTCGATAACTGCAACAACTTTTCTGGGTGCTTCCGCAAAAAAGGAAGATTTAAATTAAGGGTTTTTCTTTCGAAAATCGAGTTGATAAAATACAAAAGTTCAGACTTTTATAAGAACTTTCATGTTTTTTAAATAGTTTTTTTTTTCATACTTCGAACGCGTTTCATCGTCTGTTGACAACTCCGGATTATCGGCCCTTCAAGATCTCGTCGAGCATCTGAAATCTTCGAAATTAATAAAGAATCCATAGTCAAATAATCTCTTACATATTCGTTCTCTTGGTAATATTTGGAAAGGCATCAAATAAAATTCTGACCAACAGAGTGTGAACGAGGCAATGATGAGAAGAAGAGGTGGAACAGCGCTCGATGAATGATTGAAATAGAACAGAACCTGAAATTCGCTTTCAAAGCTTTTTTTTTCATAAATCTAGGTATTCATATATCTAATTTTTTAAAAAAAAATCTGCTCAATGTGGCTTACTTTCACAAGGATATATGCGCTTGATGCGAGTGTAGTGAATGCCACCATATACCATTGCTTAACCAGACAAATTCCATATGTACCGCCCAGTAGCAGCATTCGGAGAACTGCCAAGAGAACTATATCAAAAAGCGAAATCTGTAAAATGTAAAGAAATGACACACATCTTCAGTATTATTTACGAACATGGATAAATTTCGGATTGAAAATATTGATCTCATTAAAGAATGCCTTGTCCCAATCATCATCGCGTGTTACTGTACATAATAGCCATAATAGTATTGTGATTGAAGCATCGAAAAAGGTGAAGACTATGAATCTGAAAATATTCACATGTTTTAGAAATAGTAATAAGTTACATACCGTTTTCTTTCTTTACTGACGAACCCTGATCTTTCATATCCTGGTGGAATAAGTGGTTGTCGACCGCTCATCGTCTTTCTCTTGTACTTCTCATTCTTTTTGAACCTGTGGAAAATAAATTTTTATGATACTTGAGATACGAATTTTTCACTTTTTAGCGTCCTCCGGAGCTGAAAATGTAAGATACGAAGTGATGGAAGAGGAAATTTTGAAAGATTCGAATGCACAATTATGAGACGAGCTGATAATGAAGGGTCAAACAGATAAGAACACATAAACGAAAAAGTACTTTCATCGAGATACTAGAGCAGTTATAACAAAAATTAGTGAAAAATAAAATCTAAAACTGAAAAACAAAAACATGAGTGTTCACATGTTTTCCGATCCCGCATGACCACATCTCTTCCAGGATACTTCAAGAATTAATTTCTCTGTCTTTTGTGGACATGACATTCTAAAAACTTAACAGTCAGTTGGTTGCGAAATTCAATGAATCGTAAATCCTCCATTATTTTAGAAACCATTCTCGGCAGAAACGAATCAGTTACAGGTGGAAAAAATCGCCGAGAAACTGCGCCGCGGACTTGCAAATGACAAAAGTATGCCGCAGACATGCAGTCTGTTGTGTCTCCGCCCACTTGGCATCGTGCCAACTATTGGCTTGTTGGGCAGTTAAGTGCAGCTGGCACGATGCCAAGTGGGCGGGTTCTATGCGTAGCGGCTTCGAGAGAGTGTGTCATGCGCTTGAGGCGATACAGAAAAGTGGTATTTTGCTGTCTGTCGTCTCTTCGTTCTGCGCACTCTCTAGCGAGTGTCTGCACGTACCTCGTGCAAAAGTGCGCCGCTAATTGCTCTTTTTCATTGAAATGACGTCATTTTACAGTAATTTCCGGATTGTTTTTCTAATGATCTAAAATTTTAGGCAAGCTTCCTTATTTTCAGCCATTCTCGTTCAATAAATATTCAGTGAATCCAGAAATTAGTCCTTCGTGTAGGAAATTTTGGCTTGAATTTTCTCGGATTTTCAGGCGATTTTCTCAAGTTTTAATTGATCTCGCATCATCTTTAATTCATTTTAAGCTTCGTAAAGTAGCACTATCGTGTTTTCAATCGGTCGGAAGTGCGAAATCGGACATAAGCTTGTGGCAGATTTCACATTTTCGAAGTTGTCTCATAAAACGTTCAGCAATTATTCTGGCTTAATGTTAATTGATTGCTTCTTTCGCATACTATTTTTCTTCTATTTTTTCGAATCTCTTTCTTTCCATGTGATCTTCACTGTGTTCATTTTGATGGTTTCACAGGCCGGTCAGACAGCAAAGTCTTATGACACAAATGAACGGACAGTTTACTTTCGATAGTTTCCAGTCCACATACAGGGAAACCTGCCTCATTTTTAGAACTTCTTGACGATTTTTCACACTATTCAAGAATAACTGTATCAAAGCTGTTTTCCAGATTACTCGAAGAGTGCAGTTGCGCTGTTTGAACGGATCGGAAAAATAGAAGGAACAGGTGCCTCAATCATAGACGATGAAAAAAGCGGCAGACCGGCCGAATTCCGCGGTCAATGGAAGATATGAATCGCCGGCCACGACCACCAATAACACCCAGAACAGTGGAACTCCAAGCCTGAATGGACAAGATCCTGCTAGGTATGTGTCGAAGGAATCTAAAATAACTTCTTAAACACAGTCAAGTTTAGTTCCAGGTCAACCTCGTCATCTCCCATATTTGGCACCGAGCCATTGCCAGAGGATGAACATGCTACATGTCCATACTGTCAACAGGACTTTCGGAAGCCACGAGTTCTTGACTGTCTGCATTCGATGTGTGAAGATTGCATTATCGCACAGCTTGATGGACATCTTCAAGCTAAATCCGCGGCTATCGAGGAAAAGAAACGTGCGACGTCTGCCCTGGATTGCGAACTAGAAACGCCGAAGTTGAAGGAACGTCCAACACCACCTGGAGTCATTCGGTGTCCCATTTGTGCGCAGGAATCGCATGTTGGAAACGATGTTCGCTATGTCCATGCGATGCTGTTAGATTACGTAAGTTTCTTATCGTACAATCCTGGACCTCCACCCACAAGATTTAAGGTTCGACTCGCGAAAATTCAAGAAGTGGAAGTTGAAAAGATGGTGGCTCATCATAGCAAACCATGCACTGCCTGCAAGTCGGAACAAGAAGCTGTGGCGTTTTGCGAACAGTGCTCTTCGGACCTCTGTGAAAATTGCACCACTGCACACACAGTCATGAAGCTGTTTGATGGTCATGTTGTCACTACGTTCGCCGATCTTCGCTCTCCCGGAGCTCACCCTGAACTGCGACAAGTTATTTGCACCACTCACAATCAGTCCATGAGATATCTTTGTGCTGCGTGTGAAACAGCTGCCTGTAAACAGTGCTTAGAAATTGATCATCTGAATCATAAGATTATCGATATCAACGATCTTGTAATCAATGCCATCAAGGAGGATGTTTCGAATACTGTTGATCGAGTCGAGAAGAAGTACAACAACTCAGTTGCTGATATGAACAGCTTGCCGGATAAAACTCAACAGTTGAACGAACAATACGAACTTGCCAAATATCGAGTTGAAAAGCATTATGACGAGCTCCGCTGCGCCCTAGAGGTTCGTTTCAGTGTTTAAAGAAGTGAAATATCTATGTTAAAATTCTGCTTTTGCTATGAAAATGTTTTAGGAAAACCGTCAAAAGGTGCTGAATGAACTTGAAGAAGCCCGTGTCCGACAGGAAGGCAATATTGAAGACATGTATCGCAAATCTCAAGTGAATGAAGCACGTGTTCATGATGCCATCAACTTCACTCGTCGTCTTCTTACTAAAGGAAACGGTCTCGAATTGGTAGTCTCCAGGAAGAAAGTAATTCAACAATTTGGCAACCTTTCTCATGCTATCCCATCTCATGGCCATCAAGTTGAATTGGAGTTTTTGACACCATCCAAGAAACAAATCGACCATTTTGTCCATCAACTGACTGGAACTGTTATCGGACGTGTGATTCAGCCCACCGTAAAAGATGTTGCAAGCGCGTCTGAAGTTGCAGCAGATAAGGGAGAAAGAGGAGGATCTCAAACTGGAGTGAGACCGAATTCGGCTGCCAATGGTGCTCATCAGGATGGTTAGTGTTTTGTCCCTAACTTTGCTAGAGTTAAGACTGCTTCAATTACAATTATTTATGGTAACTACTTTTACTACACTATAAAACGGGGTGGCAAACTGGGGAAACAATCCTAGGAGCACAAGCGTAACTCCTAGTACGAGCGGGGATCAAGACTGACTTGGGAACAATCATGATAATCAACGGGGAGAGAGTAAGAGAGGTTAGAGAAAGAGGGGAAATAAAAATATGCGCGTTAAGCGCGTAGGCCAAAATGGAAACTTTGTGTGTGACCACACAACAGTTATTGTCAATTCAAAAAAATAGCCCCGGTGAACACACAAACAAACAAGTAAACAAGGGGGCGGAGCGATCCGCCCCTTTTCGCAAGGCGCCGCGCAGTTTTCCGACGGTATTTTAGTGTCGCCGTTTTTTGGTTAATTTTCACCGAATTTTTTCCGAATTGAAGGAAATTCGTTGATTTTTTTCTATGTCATCTATTTAAAAAATCGCCTTCTGGTATCACAACTATGAAGAAGTGAAATAATCTGCTGTTAGTCGACAAATTACTCCAAATACTTCTCCGATCGAGTTTTTCAGGTTT